GACGAGGAAGAAAGGAAGAAGAAGAAGAAGAAGAAGGAGGAGGAGGAGGAGGAGGAGGAGGAGGAGGAGGAGGAGGAGGTACCTTCCTCTCCCTCCTCCTCTTCCTTTCTAGCACTAATGAGATTACCTAGTTGGGTCACGAAAGCCAAGAAAACCACCAACCTCAGAGAGCCACAAAGACCCTTCATTTCAACCCTGAGCTAAAAAGATTCTCCTTTATGAAGACTTTTCATTCTTTAACATACTGGACGAGAAGACCACTTTATATATTTTTAAAAATGCCATCTTTATTTCATATGCTGTAAAAAGCCTTATATAAATATTTATAATGCCTTCTAGTGTAACTTTTTGCAAGCCACAACTACGGAATTTATTTTACTTGATTTTATTTTATTTTTTGTAAAAAGAGGAAAGGTGCGGTGGCCATTCAAATCCTGAACGTTTTGAAATGAAATTGACCTCAAAACAAAATCAAGATAACAAACCACCTGCTTGAAATGTTTGAAGAAAATGAGAGCATAATCTTGAAGGGCCGATTAATGCCCCAGGAATTGCTGGATACGTGGGTTAAAAAAAAGAGAACAACAAATCCTGCAGTCAGAAATGTAAATATTAAACTCATCTTTTAGACTTAGGGCAGCTTTTAATGCGCTTCGGGCCACGCTAGTAATGTCTGCGGGGGAACAGAACAACAACATTAATATTGTCCCCATTTCTGTATGTGTTGCGATGTTACTCAAAGTGATGCGAAGGGGTGGCTCTTGCAGGAAGCTTCTGTAGATGCTCCACCCCACCCGACTAATGTTGTGAAGCTTCTATCAACTCATAAAATATTCCTCTGGTCCTTTTAGAGTTGCCAACAGAAAGGGAGAGGAGAGCAGTGTGGCAGCTTGGAAACCAAAAGTGCATTCCATAAATGTTTTCAAAGATAGTAACTAGGTGACTGAAGTTTCTGCTGCGCAAAGTTCTAACTGGAAAGCATAACAGATAATCAGAGTGGGAAGGGACCATTTCGAACAGATGGGAGTCCAATCTCTTCTTGAAAGCCTCCAGGGATGAAGCTCCCACAACTTCTGAGGGCGACTTGTGTTCCATGGGTTGATTGCTCTCACTGTCAGAAAATACCTCCTTATTTGCAGGTTGAATCTCTCCTTGTTCAGTTTCCATCCATTATTCCTTGTCTGGCCTTTGGGTGCTTTAGAAAATAGCTCGACCTCTTCCTCCTCTCTGGGGCAGCCCCTCAAATATTGGAAGACTGCTATCATGTCTCCCCTGGTCCTTCTCTTCACTAGACTAGCCATGCCTGGTTCCTGTAACTATTCTTCATGTGTTTTAGTCTCCAGTCTCCTAAATGATTGATGACTCTGGGATATGGACGTGTCCCACTGGAGAATATGAATTATGAATTATGGCATATATGAATTATGATATACCCAGGGGTGGAGGAAAACCAGGGTCAAGGATGACAATGAATGTCTCAGAGTCGGCTATACCCAGGCAGTGCTAGACATATTAACTCCCAATAAATCCTTTTGAAGTTTTGGAAGTTTGGCTCGAGTCTCACAATTTAAATGGGATAACTGCTGGAATCCTGACAGCCTCATCTTGTAAATCCCACCAAATAATCCCAGAAACCTAATCAAGAAGAGAAACAAAATCCCCTGGAATTAAGGAGAAACTTCCTGTCAGTGGGAACAATTAATCTGTGGAAATTGTGGGTTTGATTGGTATTGTCTCCAATTTTGGTCGCCACAATCTAAGTAGATTTTTACGCTCTGGAAAGAAGACAGAGAAAAGCAACAAAGAGGATTAGGGGAACTGGAGGCTAAAACATATGAAGAATGGTTGCTGGAATTGGGATGTCTAGTCTGACGAAAAGAAGGACTAGGGGTGACATGAGAGCAAAGTTCTAATATTTGAGGGGCTGCCCCGAAGAAGAGACTGGACTGCCCTCTGTCAAAAATGGTGTAGGGTTGGACTAGATGACCTACAGAGTCCCTTCCAACTCTGATTATCTGTATCTAAAGAAGAGGGGGGTCAACTTATTTTCCAAAGCACCAGAAGGTGGGACAAGAAGCAACGGATGGAAACTAGTCAAGGAAAGATCCAACCTAGAAATAAGGAGAAATTTCCTGACAGTAACTTAGAACAATAATGGAACGGCTTGCCTTCAGAAAACCCTTGGAGGTTTTCAAGAAGGGACTGGACACAGCCCTTTGTCTGAAATGGGATAGGGCTGTGATGGCAAACCTATGGCATGCGTCCCACAGGTGGCACACAGAGCCATCTGTGCCATCACGCAAGCTGCAGGCAAACTTACCTCACTGCACATGCGCGTGCCTCACAGCTGATTTTGAGGAAGGCTTCTGCAGGCTTTGCAGGCCGAAAACTAGCCCCATTTTGTCACTCCGTTTTTCTGAAAATACTGGAAGTGACGAAACGGGGCTATTAAGAAGCCTTCCTCAAGCCTCTAGGCCAAAAAAAGGCCTCAAAGCAGCCGAAAATCAGCTGTGAGGCGCAGTGCAGGAAAAGGGGCGGTGGGGGGTGGGTATTGTGTGTGCATGTGTAGGGGGCGTGGGGGAGGCGGGCATTGCCTTTTGAGTGCAGGCACACGAGCACGAGTGAGAAAGCGTGCGCATAATTTTTGGCATAGGAGCCCAAAAAGGTTAGCCACCACTGGTATAGGGTCTCCTGCTTGAACAGGGGGTTAGACTAGAAGACCTCCAAGGTCCCTTCCAGCTCTGTTATTCTGTTATCCTCTTTAACTCTTAAAACTTAGAACTAAGAACTAAGGAGAAATTTCCTGACAGTTAGAAACAATCAGTGGAACAACTTGCCTCTACAAGTTGTAAATGCTCCAACGCTGGAAGTTTTTAAGTAGAGATTGGATAACCATATGTCTGAAGTGGTATAGGGTTTCCTACCTAAACAGGGGGTTGGACTAGAAGACCTCCAAGGTCCCTTCCAACTCTGTTATTCTATTCTAACTCAAACTCCCCATAGAAAAATAAATCGATCAAATGCAGCCCACCCTTGCTTCCCTAAACCCAGCAATTCGGCAGGATTTTAATTCAGGAGAGAACTCAACAAGTTCAAAAAAATAAAAACGGAAAGGAATGGTTTTATCTTTTTTTAAGGTACTCCTCATTTAAAACAAAAAAAAAAAAAAGAGTGAATCACCTTTTTCATTCAGGAAAAAGAAAAGAAAAACAAAACAGAATTGGTCAAGCAATTTCAGGATCTTTGGTACTCGGAGGAGAGCAAAATGGCACGCAGCATTGCGGCAACGTTAAATTCAGAAGGAAGGGAAACAAGCAAAAGAAAAAAAAGATGAGCTAACGGCTGAATTGATGCCAGGTATATGTGTATATGTGTCTGTGTCTGTGTCTGTGTCTGTGTGTGTGGTGTGTGTGTCTGTGTGTGTGTGTGTGTGTATGTGTATGTATGTATGTATGTATACATATATACATATATACATACATATATATAAATATATATATATATATATATATATATATATATATACACACACACACACATACATACTTAAGTTTTTGCGAGTACTTACATGTATGGCATTCAGCTTTGTTCGGGTATTTTCCCACGTCATTGTAGTTGTGCTTTTAAAGCTGTAGCAACGTTTCGGCAGAATCTCATCTGCCATCATCGGGCTTCTG